TGGAATCAAGATTGCTGGGAGAAATATCAATAACCTCAGATATGCAGGTGACACCACCCTTATGGCAAAAAGTGAAGAAGAGCTAAAGAGCCTCTTGATGAAGGTGACAGAGGAGAGTAAAAACGTTGGCTTAAAGCTCAACATTCAGAAAACTAAGGTCATGGCATCTGGTCCCATCACTTCATGGCAAATAGATGGGGAAACAGTGGCTGACTTTATTTTTTTGGGCTCCAGAATCAGTGCAGATGGTGACTGTAGCCATGAAATTAAAAGACGCTTACTCCTTAAAAGGAAAGTTATGACCAACCTAGGCAGCATATTAAAAAACAGAGACATTACTTTGCCAACAAAGGTCCATCTAATCAAGGCTATGGTGTTTCCAGTAGTCACATATGGATGTGAGAGTTGGACTATAAAGAAAGCTGAGTGCATAAGAATTGATGCTTTTGAACTATGGTGTTGGAGAAGACTCTTGAGAGTCCCTTGGACTGCAAGGAGATCCAACCAGTCCATCCTAAAGGAAACCAGTCCTGAATGTTCATTGGAAGGACTGATGCTGAAGCTGAAATTCCGATACTTTGGCCGCCTGATGCGAAGAGCCTACTCATTTGAAAAGTCCTTGATGCTGGGAAAGATTGAAGGCAAAAGGAGAAGGGAACAACAGAGGATGAGATGGTTGGATGGCATCACTGACTCAATGGACATGAATTTGAGTAATATCAGGGAGTTGGTGATGGACAGGGAGGCCTGGCGTGTTGCAGTCCATGGGGTCTTAAAGAGTCAGACATGACTGAGCGACTGAAGTGAACTGAACATTCAGTGAAGATTTTTAAGTTTCAGACACTGCATTTAAGAGTTCTAATGTTTTCATTTGATTCTTATAGATTCTTACTTTCTGCTGAGATTTCTCATCTGTGCATTTCTTATGACCATATTTTCTTTTATGTATTGAAACATATTCATAAAGCTGCTTTAGAATCCTTTGCTGCTAATTTTAATGTCTGAATCATTTCAGGCATGGTCTTTTTCTCTTGATTATCAGTCACATTTTCTGTTTCTTCATGTTTCTTGTGATTTTGGATGTTTTTCTGGACACTGTTTATCATATATATTATAGAGACATTTGTTTCATCAAGCAGTTAACTTGGTGGAACTCGGTTTCCAAAGAATCAGTTGAAGAATTATATTAGCTCTTTTTTGCCTTGGCTGAGCTTTGTCCTGAACATGCATAGTTAAGGGGTTAACTAGAGATTTTGGCTGTTTATTTGTAGAATTTGGGGTTCTTCCTTTGCAGTTCTTTTTCTGAGATTTCCCTTTCTTATTTTTCAACTCCTGCTGTTCTCCCACACTGCTGTGAGTCCTCAGTCATCTTGGAGTACCAACTGGCGTCTTCCCTCAGGAAAAAAGTCATATAAATGGCAGTCTGATCCACTGTTCTCTGCCATTCTCCATTCTGTCACATCCTTTCTCCTTTCGGACTGGTTGCTCTCCAGCGTCTTTGGATTCCTGTTTGATCATGTTTCGTCTGGACTTCGTGTTACCTGCAGGAGGATTGGGCTGATAGAAGGCACTCCTCACTGTTAATGGAAGAACTCCCCGCATAACTTTTCTTTCTAGTGTAGTAAAAATGCATTTAAAATTTGCCTTTTAGCCTTTTAAGTGTACATTCAGGGCCTTAATTGCATTTACGGTCTTGTTCATCAGTTCCCACTGTCTTTACCCCGAACTTTTTCTTATCCAAATAGAGACTCTGTGTCCCAGAAACAGTACATCCCCACCCTCTGGTAACCTCTAATGTACTTTCTGTCTCAATAAAATTCCCTATTCTACATATTTCACCTGAGTGAAATCCTGCAATATTTGTTCTTTTGTGTCTGGCTTATTTCAGTTTAGCATGGTGTTTTCAAGTTTCATCCATGTTGTAGAATGTACCGGAACTCTTTTTAAGCCTAAATACTGTCCCATTGTATGGATATGTTTTATGTATCCATTTGTCTGTTGATATCCACCTGGGTTGTTGCCACATACTTGCTGTTGTAAATAATGGATGCTGTAATAAATATGGATGTAAAAGTGTCTGTTCGAGTTCCTGCTTTCATTTATTTAGAGTATATACCTATAAGTAGAGCTGGATTGTATGGTAATTCTTTAACTTCTTGAAGAACTGCCAAACTGTTTTCCACAGTGGCTGTACTATTTTATATTCCTACTAGTAATTACAAGTTTCCAGTTTCTTCAGATTCTTACCGACATGTATTTTCCTTTTATTTATTTATTATTATAGTCATCCTAGTGGGTATGAAGTGGTGTCTCATTGTGATTTTGATTTTTGTGTCTCTAATGATTATGTTGAGTGTCTTTTCATGTTCTTGTTGATGGTTTATATGCGTCTGGAGAAATGTCTATTCAAGTTTTCTGCCCATTTTTTTGAGTGGTCTTGTTATTGTTGACTTGTAGGAATTCTTTATATATTCTGGTTATTAAATGCTTATCAGACATGGTTTGCAAATGTTTTTTCCCATTCTGTAGTTTTTCCACTTTGAGTGTCTTCTGATGCACAAAAGTTTTTAATTTTGATGAACCCAATTTATCTTGTTTTTCTTTTTTCATTTATGCTTTTGGTGTCATATTTTAGATTCCACTGCCAAATCCAAGGTCATGAAAATTTACCCATTTTTTTCCTAGGAGTTTTATGGTTTTAGCTCGTTTGTTTATGTTTTTCATCCATCCTACAGCATTAGTTTCTGTATATTGTAGGCGGTAGGGGTGCAGCTTTACTCCTTTGCATGTGGAAATCCAGTTTTCCCAGCAGTATCTGTTGAAGAGATATTCTTTCCCCCCATTGATGGACTTGATGCCTTTGTCAGAAGTCAGTTTGCCATATGTGTAAGGGTTTATTTCTGAACTCTCAGTTCTATTCCATTGGTCTATATATCTACCCTAAAGCCAGTATCACACTATTTTGATTATTTAGTGTAACTTTGTAGTAAGTTTTAAATTAAAATTGAGAACTGAATACTCCAACTTTGTTCTTTTTCAAGATTGTCTTGGCTATTCAAGGCTTCACATTTTCATATGATTTTGAGTTTTGGTTTTTCCATTTCTACAAATGAATAACTTTTTTAAAAACTTGCTCTTTGGATTCTGATTACTTTAGAGATTTAATCAGGTCAATACAGACATTTAATTCATATAATGGATTATGAAGAAGTGTCTAAACACTTGTCCTTTCTTCTGTTGAAGTACAGTTGAATTGTTTCTAGCGTTTTGCTCTTATAAACAGTGCCATAATGAACATTCTTTGTTTGATACTTGTCCATGTGTTGGAAAGTGTCGTTAGGAGAGTAGTTCCCAACCTGGGCAGTTGTGTCTGCAGGAGAACATTTGGCAGTGTTCGGCGACATGTTTGACTCTCAAGACTGAGGAGGAGTGCTGCAGGCACCTAGCAGGTGGGGAGACCAGAGATGCTGCTAAATGCTGCAGTGGTGGAGCAGATTCCCACCCACCCAGCTACAAAGTATGATCCAAATTACGCAATTTGTAAATAGTACTGAGGTTAAGAAACTCTGCTCTGGGGCATATAGTTAGAAGTGGGATTTATAAAGCTCTAGAATGCTTCCCTGCTGGCTCAGATGGTAAAGAATCTGCCTGCAAAGTTTAAGACCCAGGTTTGAGAAGATCCCCTGGAGGAGGGAATGGCAACCCACTCCAGTATTCTTGCCTGGAGAATTCCATGGACAGAGGAGCCTGGTGGGCTGTGGTCCATGGGGTCACAAAGAGTTGGACATGACTGAATGACTAACACTTTCACTTTCAGAATGTGTACAGTCTTTTTTTGTTATTATATTAATGGATTTCTATAAAACATGAAGAAGATATTATTTCCAATTCAAGTAAAGGTTTTCTTTGAAATACCTGGAATTAAAATGAAGGTTTCTCAGATCACCAGCCCAGGTTGGATGCATGAGACAAGTGCTCAGGGCTGGTGCACTGGGAAGACCCAGAGGGATCGGGTGGAGAGGGAGGTGGGAGGGGAGATCGGGATGGGGAACACATGTAAATCCATGGCTGATTCATGTCAATGTATGACAAAAACCACTACAATATTGTAAAGTAATTAGCCTCCAACTAATAAAAATAAATGGAGGGGAAAAAAATGAATGTTTCTTTGGCGATGGGTAATCCAGCAGCTATAAGCAGTTTAATTGTCTTAAACCAGATAAAATAGCAGCGTTATCCGGAGTTCACTAATGTGTTGACTTGCCCAGAGCGGCCCGTGACTTTTACCGTGTGCGCGGTTACTTCCTGCCTGAGTGTGGTGCTGGTTTTTGGGGGAGAAGCTGCTGCTAGTCTGTGCTGAGCAGTGGGGGTTGTAATAGCAAGTTGACTGAAGGAGAGAAAAATTACAGCGTGAAAAAGACAATTTTTTTTTCTGAGAAAGATGTTTGTTAAATATTGAAAGCTTAAAAGTTTGATGTTTCTAAATGTGATTTAAATTGGTTTTTGAATTGAAGACAGAAATGCACCTTAAGAATTTCAAGACTCACTTTTAAGCCTATAAAGACCCATAGTTCCCCATTTGAAAATGTGATGAAATTTATGCCTGGGAACTGTGTGTGTTTTTGTGTACGTACCATTTTGCATATGATTTTTGGGTAGTTTATGCATGTTCCTGAAGCCTATTCGTGGACCACTCCTATTCCCTTTGAACCTTCTAGATTTTCAGATTCAGTACTTTGGTAAAATCCTTAAAATGCTAATAAGATACAGGGTATTTGAAATTATCACTGAGTAGTGAAGACACAGCTATATATTGTTCATGTCTGATTTTCCAAATGCATAAGACTTGGTGGTAGAATTAAGTCCTTCAATGTTAAATGAATGAATAAAGATCTTGTTTTAATATCTATAACCTTCATTTTTTTTTTTCTTTTTACTAGGCATATGCAGCAGTGCTGTGGCAACAAGCTAATGAAAACAGACAAAATTCAACTGAAAAATCATGTTTTGGAATCTCCCTACCAGAAGAAAAACTTGATGACTTTCGTGATGAACAGATTGGACAATTACAGGAACTGATGCAAGAAGCCACTAAACCCAACAGGCAATTTAATATTACTGAGTCTAGGAAACCAAAGTTTTAATCTACACAATAAAATTTAAAAAAGCATTTCAAGTTCAGAGCCCTTTAACTATCTATCATTGGTTTTTAAAATTTGTTTCTTAAGCTTTCAGATTTGAAAATGCCTGGTGTTAATGAAATATTCTTTTGGGGGATATTTTGAATGTTGTCTGTAATATACAGATCAGGATCATGAGTTGATGAAACTACATTTATTGAAGTAGTAACAGTTGCTGGATAGGATTTGTGTTTTGGACTACATAAGAAAGAATGGTTCTAAACTGGACAAGCTTGTGAAATATTCCCCAAAATTTTATATGTAAATTTGTTTTAATGCTATTCATGTTTAAGCATTAGTCTCATGGCTCTAGCTATATCAGATAAGTATTTCATGATCATGATAGATACAGAATTCCAAGGTCATTACTTAATTTCTATTTGCATGGAATACTTTTTTGTATCCTCTCACTTTTGTTCAGTATCCCTAGATCTGAAGTGGGTCCCTTGTAAACAGCATTTATAGGGATCTTGTTTTTGTATCCATTCAGCCAGTCTGTTTTTTGGTTGGAGCATTTAATCCATTTAGATTTAAGGTAATTATCAATATGTATGTTCTTATTGCCATTTTGTTAATTATTTTGAATTTGTTTTTGTAGGTCTTTTTCTTTTTCTTTTTTTGGTTTATGGTTACCATGAATTTTTAATATAGCAGTCTATATTTTAAGTTGCTGGTCTCAAATGCATTTCCAGTATCCTGCATTTGTACTCTCTTCTCACAGTCACTGGTTTTGATGTTTGTGTGTGGATGATTGCCTACTTTTACTGTGTGTTTGCCTTTATGGGTGAGCTTTCCCATTTGTAATTTTCTTATTTGTAGTTGTAGCTTTTTCTTTTCTGTCTATAGAGAAGTTCTTTAGCATTTGTTGTAAAACTGGTTTAATGGTGCTGAATTCTCTTAGCTCTTGATTGTCTATAAAACTTCTGATTTCTCTGTCTAATCTGAATGAGAGCTTTGCTGGGTAGAGTATTACTAGTTGTAGGCTTTTCCCTTTCATTACTTTAAATAAATACATCATGCCACCCCCTTCTGGCCTGCAGAGTTTCAGCTGAAAAATCAACTGATAACTTTATGGGGCTTCCCTTATATGTTAATCACTGCTTTTCCCTTGTTGCTTTTAATATTCTTGCTCTGTCGTTAATTTTTAATCAGATATTAATAGGTACCTTGGTGTGTTCCTCCTTGTGTTTATCCTCTCGGGTGGGGCCAGGACTCGGACCTCCAGGAGAGCTCACACCAGCAGGCGTCTCCTGGGGCCGGGGCCAGGACTCGGACCTCCAGGAGAGCTCACACCAGCAGGCGTCTCCTGGGGCCGGGGCCAGGACTGGGACCTCCAGGAGAGCTCACACCAGCAGGCATCTCCTGGGGCCTCCCCCGCCTGAGCCGCGAGGGACCCTCAGGAGCGGCAGGTCGGTCGGGCCCAGGCGCCCATGGAGTCTCGGCTCTGCCCCCGGGGCCCAGTGCGCGTGGAACCTCCTGTGCGCCCTCCCAGAGTGGAGTCTCTGTTTCCTGCAGTCCTGTGAGGCTCCTACACGCAAGCCCTGCTGGCCTTCAGAACGCTGGGGGCTCCTCCCCCCAGTGACAGACCCCAAAGGCTTGGAGCCTGCCGTGGGGCTCGGAACCCCCACTCCTGTGGGAGAGCATCTGTGATGTAATTATTTTCCAGATACGGGTTGCCCACCAGCAGGTATGGGATTTGATTATGTTGTGAAAGTGCCCCTCCTCATCTCACTGTGACTTCTTTTTTTGTCTGTGGGTACAGAACGTCTTTGGGGGTGGATTCAAATCTAATTTGTCAGTGGTTGTTCAGCAATCAGTTGTGATTTTGGTGTTTTCATGAGAGGCGGTGACCTGAAGTCCTACAAGGTTATTATTTAAATATTGTTATCCTAAAAACGTTATCATTTCTCCTTTTATTTTTTTTTTATTTTTTTTCATTTCTGCTTTTAATAATACATAAGATTACTCTCTTAAGTGTTCCTTCTTCCTGAGTCATTGTTTATTTACAGTGAAAGGTTAAAAAGTAGCTTTAGAATTCAGTATTATGCATATTATCATTTGTCTAATAGATTCTACAATGTAACAGATGACCCCTTAAATAATTTGTAGTTACCTGGAGAATCTCATGGCCTAGTTCATGGGGAGATAAAAACACTTTCATTATTTTTTTTTCTTACACTTAAGTTGATTTATAAGCTGAAAAAAATCAAATGAAAATCCCATTCACATTCTAAAATGCTTATGAATATTAAAAATATATTACACACTAAAATGACTTGGATATTTAATTATGTATGTTTACTCTGAGATTAAGTGATCATTTTCAGATGCAGTTGTTTATATCAGCTTTTTAAAAAATTAATTCTATTTGCTCTGTGTTGCTGTCTTGTCCTCATTAGTCCAAACTTTCATCTGTCTTACTTGGAATATTAAGAACTTACTGCTAATCATTTTCTCTACATCCTCTGTGACCACCTACAATCTATCTCATATACAAATATCAGAGTGATATTTTTTAAATGTACATTTATGGCCGCCAGGTCCCTCAGTCCTTTCTTTCATCTCTCTCGGAGTCAGTCTGTAGATGGATGGGTGAGGCTTTCCTCATGAGATAAGCGGTCAGTAATTAGTCTTTACATTATAACAGGCTCTAGGAATAAACAGTGAACAAGATAAAACTCTTACCCTGAAGTTTAAAATCTCAACTGCATTCAGGAGCGCTGTTTCATCATAAACATACACTGCTTCCTCAAAACTTTATAGTACTATTTTCAGTTTGGTTATACTTCATTTTTCTTGTTCTTTGGTTCCTGACTCATATCTCTTCATCTCGTGTTGCCATCATTTTGGTGACCTTAGTATTAATCCATGTGGCCGACTTACCAGTAACCAGGTGATTCTCTGTTGGTTTCACTAATGCAGCCACCCATTTTCTTGGCTACACTTAAAACTGCTTTATTCAAAACTGAATAATGCTTCAGTTTTGATATTATTAATTGCAGCATTCCATGCTTTTGTCATTGCTCTTTAAAGTGATCAGATTTTTACTCCTACTGTACCTGGCCATTCTTTCAACAAACACCCATTGTCCTCATGAACCTGTGTGCAGAGCAGCAATGGAGACAGACATTGAGAACAGACTTCTGGACGTGGTTGGCAGGGAGGAAGGAGAGAGTAACAAGGAAACCACATGACCATATGTAAAGTAGACAGCCAGTGACTCAGGGAACTCCAGCTGGGGCTCGGTAACAACCTAGAGGGGTGGGATGGTGGGGGAGGTTCAAGTGGGAGGGGACATGGGTAAGCCTATGGCTGATTCTTGTTGATGTTTGGTAGGAACCAACACAATAGTGTAAAGCAATTATCCTTCAATTAAAAATAAATACCCATTGAGAACCTTCATATGCCAGGCATCATTTTAGAGACTGGAATAGAACACTTGTCAAAGACAAAACGTCTGTCCCTACGGAATTTACATCCTAAAGGAGAGGAACGAAATGCACAAAATAGGTAGGTGGTAAGAATCATGAAGAAAAACACAGCAGGGGTAGGGGACAGACCTGTGGTTCCCACATTGTGAACTCTGATCCCCAGGGCACCACAGAGAGCCTGCAGTGGGGCTACAGGGGATGTCAGATCTTTCAGGAGATCACAGCTCTATTCATTGGATATCACACACTTACTTGCTTGAGGTAGCTCACAGTTGTACTGTTGTATTGCAACATGCTTTTGGATGACGTATCTTTGTAAGCTTGGGCTTTAGCAATTGCTGTGAGAAAAGCAAATACTGCACAAAAATTAGTGTCAGAAAATGTTCGGTATGATTACAATATTGGAGAAGCTGTGGAGTCCAACAGGTGCTAAATTGTTAGGCATTTAATACCTACTGAGCCGTTTGAACTGTGTGCTGAAACTGCTGTGGAGTTCTGTTTCATGTAGGTGTACGTCCAAACTGATGAAATCAGCAGTGTTGGAGAATGCTCTGTAACTGAACTCATTAGGCTTCTTACTACTCAGTTTGTTCACTGTCATTCCTTTATTACCTTCATTTCCATCCCAATCTGCCCCAGTTTCTGTGATCTTTCACTTTGGCCATGTAGCAATACCCTTGATGTCATTGTCTGCTTTTCCCTCATCTGCTGCTCCACCAAGGTAACCACTCACTTGCCAAAATTAATAGTGTAGTAATCGGTGTAAGATTGATATGTTACCCTGTGAGACTTGAGAATGTTATTTACTCTCTCCTGCTTTTAGATCACTACTGCCTGGTTTGTATACTGCCTAACTCTCCTTTAGGTTTTTTTTCTCTTTTTTAAAATAGTGGTCTTCTCTGGGATTTCATGTTTAGGACTCCCACTTTATACATCCATTATTTCAGATATTAGCTATACTCAAATCTATAGCACCAACCTAAACCTCATTTCTGAGCTCCAGATCTGTGTTTGAAATTCTGTTTGGCATTCATTTCCAACGCATATTTAAAACTAAACTTATTTTTCTTCCCTCCTCAGGGAATGAATGATATTAACGTGTACTCAGTCCAGAATTCTGTAACATAGCCTCAATCTTCACGATTTGCCTAGAGGCCTCCTTCTCATTATTCAGTTCTGACAACTCCAGGTGGTGGATTGCAAAATAGCCGTAGTTCTCTATCGTTTCTGGTACCCATGGGCTTTGCACTGTGACTTTGCAGCTCCTCCCATCAGGAATTCCATCTGTTTTACAATCCCCTAAACCTGGAACTGGTCTTGTTTGTTGATTTGCTAGAAAAAATATGGGCAGTGTGACATTAGGGACGCTTAGGCTCTCGGCTGTGGAGCTGTGTGCTTTTCCACCTGTGCTGCTGTGGGAACAAACCCGCCCCTGTGGAGAATGTGGAGCAGAGGCAGAGCCATCCTGCACCAGCCAGACCACAGCCACGCTCTGAAGGACTGCCTGGCTGATCCCGCCAGCCCAGACTGCCAAGTGCAAGTTACGTAAATGAGAGTTCCTTTAAATCCCTATGTTTTGTTATATAGGAAAAATACTAATTTTAAAATCATTACTTTTTCTCTACCTGAGATTTTAGACTTAGAATTTTTTTCCCCTATAGTAACTTACATGTTATTTCCTTGTCTTTGGCATACTTCTTAATATATTCTCTATGTGGCTGTAAACGTAGCCTTATTGACGTGCAAATCTGCTCTGTAAATAGTACAGTTAGCATCCTACCATGGTGGTGATGGTTGAGGGGAAGCTAACACAGGTTCAGTTCAGTCGCTCAGTCGTGTCCGACTCTTTGCCACCCCATGAACCGCAGCACGCCAGGCCTCCCTGTCCATCACCAACTCCCAGAGCTTACCCAAACCCATGTCCATTGAGTCGGTGATGCCATCCAACCATCTCATCCTCTGTCGTCCCCTTCTCTTCCTGCCTTTAATCTTTCCCAGCATCAGGGACTTTTCAAATGAGTCAGCTCTTCGCATCAGGTGGCCCAAGTATTGGGAGTTTCAGCATCAGTCCTTCCAGTGAACACCCAGGACTGATCTTCCTTAAGATGGACTGGTTGGATCTCCTTGCAGTCCAGGGGACTCTCGAGAGTCTTCTCCAACACCACAGTTCAAAAGCATCAATTCATCAGTGCTCAGCTTTCTTTATAGTCCAACTCTCACATCCATACATGACTGCTGGAAACACCATAGCCTTGACTAGACGGACCTTTGTTGGCGAAGTGATGTCTCTCCTTTTTAATATGCTGTCTAGGTTGGTCAAAATTTTCCTTCCAGGGAGGAAGCATCTTTTAATTTCATGGCGCAATCACCATCTGCAGAGATTTTGTAGCCCATAAAAATAAAGTCTGCCACTGTTTTCCCATCTATTTGCCATGAAGTAATGGGACCGGATGCCATGATCTTAGTTTTCTGAATGTTGAGCTTTAAGCCAACTTTTTCACTCTCT